ATTTGAAAATGATTGATTACATAAGAGTCTCCTTGGGCTCAACATCTGTCTCACAGAAAGAAAGCCCTGAAAACAATTCACATATATTATGTCATGATTGTTCTCTTTAAAATGCTGAATTTACCGAATATCAGTTCTGTCCGTCTTCTTTGTCTTAGGAGTATAAATGGCCTCAATTAACATCCCTGCAGTTTTACCTCTCACCAGGAGTGGGAGCAGTTCACCAACAGAAAGAAGGAAGGAATGAGGCGCTGTATTGGGGCTTGTGTCTAGTATGTACAATAAGATGTAAAGGGTGTATGTGTTTTTACCTGAGGTCAGGTTTCTGACAATCACAATGAGGGCTCAATTAGACACAAGAGGCCCAGAATGACAGAAGGATGTGTAAAAATGTAGACTTATAGAAAAGCATAGGCTTGACGTCACAATTCCCAAAGTACTTAGTTTTGTATTTTATTTTTTACATCACAAGCGTTTCAGTGCTATATCCTGAGTAAGACATTATTATTTACCTTTAAAACCTCCACCACGACGCACAGGCTGTACAATACTATTTCCTCTGCCCAATGAGAAATGACTTGGTGGTACAGGGAATTATCACAGATGTCAACATGCAAAAGAGGATCCACCAGCTCCCGAAGACCATCCCAGCACAGGACTTGGCATCTGCTGGGCACATTCAGCAGCAAATACTGAATTACTTATTACCACATTCTTTGTGTATATAAGCATAGTTTGTGAATATTTGTTTCTCGGACGAGAACTAATGCAGATTTTGATGCACTTTGATTAAACTTCATTGACATTTTTTTAAATTTATATAAATCACTTATGGAGGAAGTCGACATTTTGGGAAATATACTCATTCGCTTTTTTGCTGAGAGTTCGATGAGAAGATCAATACCACTCCTGTGTCTGTCTAGTAAATAAATGGCTACAGCCAACAGCTGTTGCCAGATTGGGCAGTTTTCCAGTGAAGACAACACAACACTTAGATCAAAACCCCTATCACTAATGAAATTTAAAAATTTACCTACTTTTATGATGATTTGACAGGTCCTAGGTTCTAACTGGGCTACTTTTGTCAGCCAAATCTAGCAACACTGCAGCTGGTTAGCTATAAGGAGGAAGACGTTAAATGGCAAGTTCTGTGTAAATATAAACAAAATATGCCTAACAGCACCCTAAAACACAATATAGCTTGTTCGTTTATCCTCAACAACCAAAGTTTCTGTGGTTTACAGGGGATTCTCTGCAGAGCCAGGTTAGCTGTTTCCCCGTTTCCAGTAATTATGCTAAGCTAAGATAAATTAACTGTCTCCTGGCTGTATCTTCATATTTACTGTACAAATATGAGAGTGGTATCAATCTTCTCATCTCAACTCTTGGCGCGACAGCAAATAAGGTAATTTACTAAAATGTCTAACCATTGAGCTAAGAAGCTCATAACAACATGCTTAGATTATGAAATGACCAAGTATTATTCTCTTGACTATAAATAGCTGGTCACATTGTTCTCTAAACCAGACCACCCATTCTCCTTTTGTTAGCCCTTCACTGGTCCCTATCTATAAATATTAATACATATAGTTCTGGCAAGGAAATCCAGCTGTGATAAGAATAACATAGCTGGAATGCACAGAGAAATATTGAATAATTGGGAGTCAACAGAGGAAAGACAGGTCATTGATGTTTCTCATGGATGTCTCATGGATCAGCGCACTGCTCTTTACAGCTCCAGAGTACAATACAGCTCACAAACAAGGATCTGAATCAGCTTGTGTGTGTGTGTGTCTGCCACTGTGAGCAGAGATGGTGATAAGATAATATCGAGCTGTCAGGGATCACCAGGCAGTCTTTTCTATTTTATGGTCTGCATGAATTATGATGGACCATTCTAGTTAGTCCTTCCCAGCCATACTTCAGGTATTGTACACTTGTCAGTCCTCAGAGTCTGGCGGTGTCTCTCTAATGAATTTGATTATTTACAATTTCAATTTTGATGGACATATTGTGCAGAATTAAAAAGAAGTACCCTCTCCAGTCTTTTCCCAGCCAAGACAGTTAGCTTATATCACATTGTTATTATTTTGCACAGATGTTCAACATGCCCAGATGAATCCTAATAAATTTGTTGATCCCCTGACTTTTCATCTAGTGTCATCATCAGGTTAGCATGCTGTTGTTAGCATTAAGTCAAAGTGTCAGTACAGCCACACAGAACTGCTAACGTGGCGGTAGACTCTTAATAACAGCAGGTTTCTGGAGTCATTTTCGGGTCACAGAGTACAATCATGTTTGATGTTTTTTACAGCTGGTCTAGAGCCCCTATCTCGCATAAAGTTAAACTACATTTAGTGAACTATTGAAAAAACGTTTGTGACAGACTTTAAATTCTATGTTTCTGTCAAATTTGCATTGAAGGATGAGGACGGCGATATTTTTTGTTATTGTCAACACATCCAACAAATGAAAAGACCAATACAACAAGTCCATCCGTCCATTTTACAGAAGTCCCCACTTTCTCGCCCTAAGCCCATTTGTTCTAACTTAAGATAAAAGAAAAAGAAAAATCTTTAAAAATGTGTCATGAATATATAACATAGGCCTACTGAAAAAAATAGACCAATTGAATTCTGAGCTTTTAGCAAACATTTCAGTAGTTAACGGGAGTTAGTAATATATTTGTTGCCTATATCTGGCCACAGATTTTATTATTATTATAATAATTATATAAGAAGAATATAGAATATCACCAGATTCATCCTTTAAAGTTGTTTATTTTTTGCTCCTTTTAGAAGATTTCTTGACACATGTTTTTTTACATCCAGCTTGGGCCAGCTGCAGAACAAGCTCTGCGGCTTGCAGGTTCAACTCCACATGATGGATGTGCCTTTCCTGCACCTCCTCTGTAGTCTGATGGGAGGAATGTGAATGCAAGGGAGCACAGGGTAGACTAACAATACAATGGGAGCAGTGCTAATAGACTCTTGAGGGGGGGGGGGGGGGGGTTTGGCATGAATTTGGGAGAGGGAGCCATATGAAGAATGCCCTGCCCTCCTTTTACGCTTATGTTGTCAAAAGGGCTCCTGAAAGAGATAATAAGCACACGGTGATGTATGTTTTATATATTTCCTACATTTGCAACTTTACAGACTCACATGAAGCTGACATTTGTTTCATATAGGACAGATGCATTTGGAAGGTGTATAGATACTTAGCAACAGTCTGACTTCACTAATGAGTGATCTGTATTCTACACCTATAACTGTTCTCATTCCATTTTCTTAATATTTCATCATTGTCTTTTTCAACTCGGGATACAGCCTCAGGGAGCGATAAGCTATATCTACTATTCTTGTATCAGTTTTAAGGTCTGGTAATACTGAGGACTTTTGTAGCTGCAAATGGAGCGTCTTTTCTTTGACATATTACAAATTGTCAGCATAGAAAGCAGAAACAATCTTTGGCTAAAACTCTCAGAGGCACACCTAAACTTTCATGGCAGATGTTCAATTGCTTTTTCCTCCCACACCCGATATAACTTGTCCTGCATTCGACCTTTGGTTCTCTGGTCATGTTTCCTCCATGTGGTCCAATATAGCTCTATGGAGCACAGCTATAACACTGCTGGATAGGTGTTAGAGGGTTCATTTCTTATGCGGTGTGATGGGTGTGTTGTGAAAGTTAACATTGCCTGCTTAGATGATAGTTTATCCAGAGTGTTATCTTTCACACACAGCTTGCAGTTTCACTTTAACGAGAGGGTTGAATCCACAGTGGGTCAGTACCACATTGAACTAAAATGTATCAAGTCACATTTTAAGACCTAGACTAAATAGGCAATAACAAATCAATATCAAAGATTTAAGTTTGACGTATATGCACAGATTCTACAGGAACCTGAATTTACCAAAAGTATTCTTTAATGCTGGAAAGAAAATTAAGATTTTTTTTTAAGGACGTTGAAAAGTTTAGCCACTCTGATCTTCATTTTTGGGTTTGGGAGACAGAAAAGGTTTTTTAACTGACATTGGTACATTTAGTATTTTATCAGATCTGTAACCAAGAAAATATTGACATCTTTAATCTATTTTATAAATGCCCTTGGTGGAAAATTATCTATAGGCGCTCTTTATAATAGTTGCATTCTTGTGATCAGTTAACTGCTATCCAAGCTAACAAATATTGTCGTAGCTGTCTGAGGCTAATGTGTTTCTAAATCAAAGTAAGTGTTAAATTACTGTATGGCTAACTGTGTTTACTTACATAAAAACAAATGTTGATTAATTAAAGTGATGTACTTCCTTCATTGGATGAATTTATGGGGACTTTCTTTATGAGGCACAATGAGATTTGACAGCTATCGTTTACTTAAATACAGTTTCTTTGTTACTAATTCACTTTTACAATATGTTCCAACTGTTTGCGTTCATTTTCCAATACAGTTTTTATTGTTTCACAATTGCCATATCCCGTCTTCAACCTTATATTGAAACAGTGTTTCATATCTCTGCATAACTGTGCACCTACAAGACAACAACCCCATCATTATGAACAATTTAAACCCTGTCCAAATGTATTCAAATAACTACTGAATCACTGAGTTTTTTTCACATTTTCTTAAGGGATTTTATTAAGAAGGAAATACAGTGCCTTTCACTAATAATAATAATAATAATAATAATAATTAATAATTAGCTCTCTTTAGCTCTTAAGATAACAAAGTTACAAAGTGCTTCACATAGCAAGCAAAGAACACATAAAACATGACATAGAAACACAGCGGTAATAGAATAAAAGTATTAACCACATATGTAATAAAAAATAGAATGAAGATGAAATCAGGGAAGGTGGCACACCTTAAAATCAATTGTTAAACATACTGGAAAGAGGCTAAAACCGGGATTATATGTTCAAGCTGGTTTACTTAAAACCCTGGCAGCTGGTCTAGTTCTTCTGTTTAGGCATGTAGAATAAAATGCACAGTTGATACAAGCTTACAAAATGATCAATTTATTAAATACACAATGCAGTGTAAAGACATTGCTGACACTTCAAGCTGAATATCCATTTTTGATATTTTCTTTTGCCAGCAAGCAGATGATTCTTCACATTGTTCCAATGCACTGTAAGGTCATGCTGCTCACAGGGCAGGAAGTCCCGCCCTCACAGTCCAGTCCATTTCCTGTTCTCCTTTCTGAGACCTCTGAGTAACAGAAGTGTATCTTAGGCTGTTTTTTTAGATGGTGTCATCCAAATGTTCGTGCAGCCTCTCTCCTCTGTTATTGTGCCTGTGTCTCCTGAGAAGAAACAAAGTGTCCAATTTAGATCAAACAGCAGTGACAAACTGTAAACTGGCTCAAGTAAACATGACAATTGTTTTGTCAGCAGACTCAGCCTGGCCTGTCATGCCTCATGTGTGTCACTTCTCATGTGGGAGGATACTAGCTGTGTAGCATTTTGCTGTTTTCCTTTTTGTACCCTTATTTATTTCTTTTCTTTTGGGGGGGGGGGGGGGCTTTTTAAAGCAGCTACTCCTAGTGTCTTATTTTCTGTCAGCGTATGGCTGTTATCGTCAGAGCATAGCCTGAAATGAGATTTGTGTCTGTGCCTGCCTGTGTCTATGTGCATTACTTTACCTCCACAGCAGAAATGCCAGCACTCCTCCAAACAGTAACACGAGGACGAGGCACACCACAGCCGCTGTTGTCCCGCTACCCTCTTTCTCACAAGGTGCTGTCAACCAGGAGAAAGACACCCAATGAGGGGCAAAAAAACACAAGTCATCTCACATGGCTGCCATAGAAGGCCACAAAGGTCCCTTGCTTCAAGTGTGTAAAGTCAGTAAATTTACTGCAACAGCAAGAGCTAACAACAGGTGTCTTAAAATACCCTGCCTGTCTTTGGATCATCCCACCTCTTGGCAGATAGGAAGAATTGCATTTGTCTTGCCTGTTTAGCAACAGTGGCAGCAATAACAGTAGTGATTTATTGATTGCGCTGTGGAAAATCCTTTATTGGTGAAACACCACCAGTGATACAATACATAGACATAAGTGCAATCAGGACATGGCTCAAGATAGACACAAGGCAGGGTAGAAAGGAGTCGGATTTCTGAATATCCATGACACAACACACAACCTAAAAGCTGGCTGTATAAGATTTCAAGAGGCATAACCATGTTTTCGTCCAGTCAACTAACTTAAACATTACAATTAGCTCATTGGAAAGCAACATTAATATTCATTTGGAGTCATGTCTTTGGCCACCTAGCTGGTTGAAACAAAACTAGGATGAAGCTGTGATAGTGAACCAAAACAGTAAAATTGTGGGCTGTAAAACCAAATAGATGAGCTGAAATATGTTTCATATATTACAAAAAATGAATTAGTGCAGCTTAAAGTAAGTAACAGAGAGACAATATAGTGTGGACTTGTACCTGCAGTGTAGGTGGCAGAACTGTAGCTCATCTTGTTGCTGACCCTGCAGGTGAAGTGGCCACAGAATGGAGTCATGGTCACAAACAACGTTTTCCCATCTTTGGAGACTTTCCCCACGGTCTTGGTGATGGCGACTCTCTCATGGAACCAGCTGAAGTGGGGGTCAGTCCCCCAGGCCTCGCTACAAATGAGCAAGGAGTGAGACACGTTGATGCTGACTGAGACGTGGTGCACTTCCTCTGAAAAGACAGATGAAAGAAGGTGAGGGTAAGAATGAAAAGAGGTGATAAGGATGGAGGCAAAAACCCTGAGCCAGCTAGAAACGAGAGGAAATGTGAAGTGTTCAGCTGTGGGCAATTATCTGTAATAAAATAAGAATAATGGCACATGGCTGTCCAAGAAGGTCTAACGCAAAGAATCATGAGAGACGTTTAATGCTGTCAGGAGAAACTGGCTCAGTTTCAGAGACAATAATGAGACTGGAGAGTGAGGCATAATGTCGGAGAATGGGATGATGGAAAACCCTGGGAGCTGAGAGAACAGATGTAGAGAAGAGTGGAGCTGATGAATTGATACTGTTAGAGCAGACAAATGAGAGTAAAAGTAAAGAAGCATTGACAGAAAACTAGAAAGCTATGACGACACCAGAATCATCTAGAAGCACAGAAACAAAAGGAAGACCCAGAAAGCAAAGCCTATGGGCAAATTTAAAAGTGTTGCATTGTTAAATGAGATATGCACTATCAGAAAAAAACAATGCATGCTGGCGTGAAATTAAAACATATTCATTATACTGTTGGTAATTGTTGGAGTCAACACTAGAAAGGCCAGGACTGTCAGCTGAGTACTGAAAACATTTCTACTTTCATATCATTACTCAGATTTATACAAGACCAACTTTCCACATAAACTGACTCTGTAAGCTTTTCAAAATAATAAAGGAAGACAGTATTTATGCCTCAGCTATTGGCTGGCTTGTTGGCAGCCTCTAACAGCTCCAACATCCACTGATCTTTCAACTTAATGACCTTTATCCTGCCTATAGATTGTGTGATTGGTTGACGCAATCATTTGTAATTAGGGCTGCATCTATTATTTTTATCTTATTTTTGCAATTAATCAATTGTTTAGTCTAGACTGAATAAGAAAATATGAACAAATGAAAATCCCAATTTCACAGAGCTCATGTGTGTCTTTCAATTTTATATTCTGTCTGAAAAATTGTCAAGGCCAAAAGGAATTCAATAGGGATTGTTATTTCCAATGTCAAAAATTAACTTTAAGGTCAACTTTTAAGCCAACTTAGATGAGAAGTGCTCAGAAAAAAATGGAAATTTAAAAATCTACAATTACATAACAACTGGGCATCTGTTGATAAAAAATGTAATATAATTGAAAGCTACTAAATGGACTTTGAGGTGAGATTGTTTTGTCAATGACAGGAATTAAAATGAAATGAGATTGAATAAACCCTCAAACTGGAGAAACTGGAACCTTCAAATGTTGATTGTTTTCATTTAATGAATAACTAGAGTGTGGTACTTTTACATATCAATTGACGTCTGTTACATTCAAGCCCTTGCCAAACCAGTTTACACAGTGCTGAATAAGCCTATCAATGGCAGATACATCTCTCTGTATTTTGCAGTATTCTGGAGTTTTTAAATTTGGTGTCTGTGGTGACATTCCTGCTACGGTACACTGTTAATGATACGTTTTATGTCAACCATCAATGATTGGTTTGCCAGAGCTGAATGGGGGAGCAACCCAGAGCCATGTGGAGAGCTCCACGATCTGCCATTGCTTTAAAAAAATGGTTAATTGGAGAGAATGTTTACTATTAAGAATTGTTTATTGTTTTATTTTGTTTAATATATTTGTATAGTTGTGTTAATATGCTTTGGCAACATTATAGTATAAATAGGCCTGGGCAATAAATCAATAATGATGATTATCGCAATATAATTTTCCTCAATAACAATATAACAAATGTTCAAACGAACATCAGCACTTAATTTTTCTATTAAGATATTTATTTTGTTGAGGAAAAGGGACTTGAAAAAATATTTACCAATCATAGTTAATTAATTGCCCATAGATATTTCAAAAAATATTTTATCATAACACTTTTGAATGTTCTACCTCAGATTTGTGAAGTAATCCACTGTTTGGCATCGTTCTGACCATAAAGAAACGTTTGACCGCACAAATAACCATCTGGTTTCTTCAATTTTCACTCAGGAAAATCAGCCTTTAAACTTGAAAGAAATAATCATTTGACATTTATTGTAATTATTGATATTCAATGTTCTGAATTTTTTTTATTGTGATACATTTTTTGGCCATAACTTTCTCTCTCTCTACATGGCTCTTCAGCTATACCGTAGTGACAGAGTAGGCTACAGCAACAATAGGAGTATGGCCATTAGGGTAGCTTTTCCTTCTTGGAGAGCTCTGATAGAAGAGTAGGGACAAACACAGGTCACATCACTGCTCTTGGACAGGTTGGTATTTGTAAAATATTTGGTGTAGGCTATGTAGCAATTAGATTAACTCTACCTTAATAATGTATTATTGTCTTGGAACTGGGGAAATTTCTCTTTATTTCTGTACCCATACTCCATGCCGTAGCCTGATGCACACCTTCCCAAAAAGTAGACACTGCAGCAATGCAGTGTGCAAGAATAGTGTTGGATTGGCTTGATAGCATTCATTTCCTCCTACGCATTTCCGGCTTGTCCTTCTTTGCTGCCATTTTCAAATTCAGCCCGCACCTTTTCTTGTTTCTGTGTTTTTGTCATTTCACTAAAAGTTATTGCTGTTCAACATCAGTCAGCTCCAATGTCAACATACTGTATGTTTGCTCAGTTTCAGTCGCCATTGTTTTTGTCTAACAACAGTGGCTAAACTCAAAACAACGGCGAAGAAACAACACAGTGGAACATAGAAACCCCACCACCCAATAGCGTGTTGGTGGTGTAATGATGCAGAAACCAATGCACAAATGCTCACAAACATGCATAGTGGGGAACTCAATGCAGATATTAATTAACACAGTATTAATTGGCAATTTTAACCTTCAAGCATTCAATGTTGTTGTAGCAATGACTGTCAAAGATCCTTTACAGAAAAATTTAAATTGTTGATTAATTTTATGTCAATTGACTGATCCATTTATCAAAGATTTGTTTCAGCAATCTATAATGATAACCACAGACCCCACAATAAATACCTCCACATGTTGCAAATTGTACTGTACCATATATCCTGACAATGCAGTGTGCAGTGATCTTGGCCCCTGTGTGATCTGTCACCGTCACAGCGTACACGCCACTGTCCGAGCTGCTGTATCCATTAATCTGAAGTGTCGTCTCCTGCTGCTCCATGTTCACACGGACGTTTGGCCTCGTACCAGCACACTTGAGGCTTCTGCCAGGGCACGTGGCCAGTGTCACTGTCTCTGGGAAAATTCCAGTTTCGGGCTCCCGTTCCCAGGTTACCACGGACACCTCTTCCAATGGTCCCTGCTCGATTCGAGCTTTCAGAACCAGACTGGAGCCGGGGATTACATGCACAGGCTCCTCATTGAGGATGTGCACTGACATACACTGGAGCCCACATGGCACTGAGGACAGAGATAGGACCATTTGTTTTTGCATGCTCATCAGAATAATGCTTCAACTTACATGCAGTTTGTTATTCTATTCAGATGACCAGTATGACCTCCAGCATTTCATCTTCATTAGTTTTGACCTTTTTTGAGGGTTTGCATAATGGGAAGCTAATAAAACAAACAATGGCATAATGCTTCATCTTCGTCCTCAGCATGTACTTCATGAATATGTATAGCTGCTTTCTGTCAAGCAATGTCAAGCTGTGATTTATAGCACATGACAGCCTTGCATAATGTGATATCCATCAAACCACATCAAGATCCTAAAATCTGTGTCAAAACTGCAGTGGACCTGGTAAGTTGCTGTGCATTTACCACAAGTAGTATTAATCATGTTCCTTAACTTGATAGGAAAAGGATCAAAGGATGGATGAGATGTATATAATGCAAATGTAGGTATTAATGCAAAAGGCAGTTTACAAGAGTTCTTTTGCATTTGAGTCAACACTGCTGTGATCTTTCTTTGTGTTCTCAGAGAATAAAAGAATGCTGCTGTCTTGTCTTGCACACAGGAAAACATTAAAAATGAGGGAGCATAGTAAAAAATGCTTTGTTTTTCCTCCTGCAGTTTCAACCAAGTTTTTAAACAGAAAGATGGCGATGACAACAAAAAGTCTTACTCAATAGAAGGAGGGCAACTCTCCAGCACAGGCAACACTGCAGATCCATAATGCCTGCTGATGTGGAGAGAGAACAGAGAGAGGAATTTGTCTGTGACCTCAGCAACAGCACACCATTTCCTCTGTACCTATGCAGCAGGGGTGCCACTACAGCAAGAATAATAACAAGGCCTCCAGAGAAAATGTGAAATTAAAATGAGAGCAAAAAACAATTAAAGAAGCATGTTCCTCTACTCAAAAATGTAGTCCAACTGTTTAGGGTATTCTTTTTTCTTAATTTGTTTGTGAAGTATCCAAAGAACAACAGTATTGGCACTGCAGACTGAATCAGAACTTGGAACAAAATAGGGACGGCTCCACTGCCAAAACTAAAATGAACCCCCTCAAGCACAGCTGCTACAACAAAAACATACAGAGAGAGGAAACACTGATAGCAGCGCAGGAACACAGCCCAACCTGCATGAATTAAATATAACCTGGAATTCCCTTTGCTTTTTACCTTGAAGTTATCCATATCAAAAAGCCCTAGAGTGGGATTCACCTACCTCTCCAAAGTTGAGACAAACAAAACACTCGAGCCGGAGCTCTTCCACTCTTCTGTTCACGTTCTCAGAGGTGAAGGTGCAGCGCAATTCACTGGAGTAGATTTAAATCCCCAAATAAGACAATATCTTCAAAGCACTTGCCATTGCATTGCGAGAAATAATCTGGATAAAGATGACAATTCCTAGAGCTACAGCTGTTACTGCGAACAGTATTAAACGGGAGTAAAGCTAAATGTTTCAGGACTTTTTTCTCGTCTGCCTGGCCCTTTTCTCTGCTTGTCAGGTCCACTCAGTGAGTCACGTTGGCGTCAAGCAGTCTCACCACCCGGACCCCCGCCTCTTTCCTGTACAGTAAACGCATCTTTCTGCTTTGTGTTTTGAATAAAATAACTTTCCATTGTAACCCCCTCCCTACGCCCATATTTCCCACCTTCCCCCTCCTTTGACCCGGGTCCAAGCACATGCTCGGACAACAATACAACATGTTCGATTTGGATTTTCACACCACTGTTGTTGCACTGTTTTGTAAACAGAAATTCAATGCAATGGTATTATATTGAAACCAGTTACAATGTCGAGTCTTATGAAATAGTCTTTGTACTCCAGGCTTCTTATGCAGCACGAACACGATTTGCCCCGCAGACACAATACATTGTCTTGGCTTTACTCTGTTCTTATTCCCCCTTGTCTGTCACATGCAACTGAGAACCACCTTCAAGCACGTAAAGGGGAATGAAGACGATTTTTTGTCATTCCCAGTGGGAAAGTTCAGTAGTCTCTGTGAAATTGGAATAAAAGCCCTTAATTAAATCTAAATCTGCTTCACAGACAATAATGGACTGCTGGTTTAGTGGAATCACATTCAAAGTGAAGTTCATATTCTGGCCTTTTTCTAACACATAGTGTACCTATATAAGTCAGAATATAATCGAAAGCTCCAGGACAGCTACTAAATAGACCTTGAGATGATTGTTTTGTCTGCTACACACGTGTTTTACACCACAAGAGCAGCGAAACATGACATCACTTATTCAGGCGTCAGCGCTGCAGCTTCTCACTTCATGAAACGCATCCTAGGGCACTGATGTAACAAGTGATTTTAAACTGATTATAAATCCATTTGTATTTGCAGAGGGTTTAAAAATAATCATGGGAATCACAGCTGTGGCTCCCACTGAGTTCTTTGTCTACAGAGGAATGCTGTTAGCTGGAATTAACCAGTGGGTGGCACTAATACATCAGCTGAAAACATTTTTTCCCTGCTTTTTTCTTCAGTAGACGTCCTCATATGCTTCTGGTCCTGTGTGCAGAATGATTTATGTCTGGTGTTTGCTTCCCATGCATCCGTATCATTCCACAAGTCAGCAATTAAGCCAAGTATTGAATGTATATATATATGTGATTACCTCATATAAAACATCAAACGCTTAATCAGATCCTATAGCTGCCATGTATTACTGTAACCAGGACAATAAAAATGGCCCTCAATCACAGAAAAACAACAACATGTGATATGGTCTCTGCACAACTTCTCCATTTATTGATGAAAATACCAACACTAGCCTATGTAAAAGTATTCAGTTAAGTATTCATAGCCTCTATTTATGCAAAACTAAGAAAAAAAAAAGAAACTCCATTACAAGTAAAGGTCCTGCATTCAAAACCCTTATCAAGTCCAGAAGTAGGCTATTATCAGCAAAATGTGCTTAAAGTATCAAAATACAATAAAATACTCGTGCAAAAAGAATACCCCTGTAACATATTAATGATATAATATATAGGTTATTACATTAATATTATCATATGTTACATTCAGATGACTGGTAGGCTATATCAATGCATTAACAGCATTTGACTGTTGCATACAATTAGGTAGTTTAATCTTCATCAATGCACTGTATTTTGTAAAGTTAATAGCCTATGTTTTGTTTTTTTTATGTTTTATGAAGTAGCTTAGTAGCTAACTAACAGCTGTCAAATAAATGTGGTGGAATAAAACGTAAAATAGTTCCCCCTGAAATGTTACTCAAAATTGTAGTTTGGTACAACACGCTACGTGAGCAAAACCAGATCCTTTCCACCACTGGTTAGGCCTGGTCGGTTGCAGGTGGCTGCGGGCTCTTTAACAGAACAGGTGTGTCCTTGACAGGTAATCGTGGAGAGAAACAGGAAGTGGACATTAGTCATTAGTTAGAAAACACAAACCAATACGGAGCCTTATTTCAGCACAAAAATTATCATGAGGGCAGGAGACAAATACTTTGGTAAGTTCACAGCTAATTCCTCTTATCACTACTCTGCAGAGAATGTTTGTTTTTGTCAGGTATAATCTGAAATGAATCCTATCTAATTTAGCACTATAATAATAGCTAGGCTTCTGTACCTACAGCCTTATTAGAGAAAGTCTATTTTAAAAAACTGCTAAAAACGGTTCACAATTATGATACAAATGTAATTTTGTATATTAAAGAGTTTAATCTCCCTGCAGACTGGCCTGACTGACGACATGAGACAACCTTTGCTCCTTATCAGTGTGCCACTGGCAGGTAAAACAATTTGCACTGACAGTTTTCTCTCCTCCAGTTCCAACACTAACGTTTAAATGGTTCAAACCGCTCCCAAAATACTCTTAAGAAAAGTATCGGTAGACTCTGTACTGTGGGAGAAAAAAAACAGGTCAGGGAAGAGAAGCTGGGATTCTAAGCACGTTTATAAAACAATTGCATTTCAAGCGAAAATCTCGTCTTAACCGCTCTTAAACCTGTACTGCTGCATTCCCGTCTGTGTACTGACTACTGAGTGACGTGATGCCTTTACGGCCTCCTCCCTGAATCCTACGTCTGACCTCTCATGCTGGTCTGAATGGCTGGAATGTTATTGTTTCTATACTTGCACGCCATTTGTTATTTTCTTGATCAGGAAGGGCAGTAGGAGTTGTTTTTATTTTTTTAAATAAAAATATGAAGATCAGGTTATAATTTATAGTCCAGGTCAGCCTGCTTCTAATGACAAATGTCAATGCATAACAATTGCATAACAACTTGTATATAAAATACATAAATATACAGAGAAGATAATAACAAGAACTTTTAAACTTTCAAAAGATTGTTTAATCTGCATAATAGGTGACACGAAAATGAAAATGGCTGGCTCATTTGCACACAAAGATATTGAAGCTGGTTATATTCTATATTTTTATTATTATCAACAAATCCCATGAAAAGACCAGAACCAACAATGATTTAATCTTATTAACAAGTATTGTCTGTTTATCTATATCCTGATATAGCTTGTTCCTCTGTGCCAGAGACATCCATTGTTGTTCAACAACAATTAAAAACAAGAGTGAGTCACACCTTGTAGTTTCTGAACTCCTACATTTACTGCCCTCCTGCAGTAAATACCCACAAAGGCACCTAATGTGTATTACTGCGCAGATGAAAATAGTCCCAAACAAATGCACTATTTAATCCTGTTTGAGTAACGTTTGCTAAAAACTACAGTGCCCAGCTGTTGAAAAGACTGTTTATGAGCAGCATAGATTTACAACTTAGAAGTTAAAAAGTATTGCGAGATAAACTATCTCATTGCTTGCTTTTGGTCTTTTCACGGGATTTGTTGACAATAAAAAACTTATTGAACAATGCCAGCCTTACCCTTTAAGTGCACTGCATTGTATATGTTTTCAATTTCTAGCAAAATGTTTACCAAATGAGTAGTGCATCTATTACTGTGGTATCAATTTCCCCAACCAGAATTATAGATTGTTACTCCCTACAGTGTTGGATGCTGCAGCAAGATGAGCACAGAAAATTAGCACCAGGAATGTAAATGATATTTTAATTTGTTCTTTAACTAAGGGTAGTTGTTCATGCATGAAAGATAATAATTAAAGTAATAATCAGCAATATTTTCATACAATTAAATATTCATTTTGCTGCTATCTATCGGCAGTTTATATTACAAAACTGTGATTCAAACGACACAGGTTTTTGCTTTTTCAATTCGAAATGCCTCCGGTTTGGTGAATCTGTCTCCGACAAATGTCATTTGGTACACAAGAAGTGATTTATTTTACATTTCAAGACACAGCGGTTAGTTCGGAATAAATGGAAGACAATGATTGTTAGAATGAATTATTATACCCATTAGACTTACCTACAGAAACCTAAAATTCAGCAACTGACACCATGAAAACTGGTCCCTCTGACATTGTTTATTCAAGGTGCACACCAGCAACTAAATCTCATTTTATAATTACACAGTTAATAGTTACATGTATTAATGAATATGACTTACTATACAATCATATGTACAACTAAAGCACATTAAGTCACAGGAACTGTGCTGTGAGTCACGTATGGGTGTTTCTCACTTCTAACCCATGACTCTATCTTTCTGTCTCTATTGAAAAAGCAACAAGACCACTGATATTTTTAATCGAGCGCTGAAACACTTGTGTTTAACTCAGTGTGGGAACCTGAATGCAATCCATCTCAGTGTTTGCTCTTGTCATTTTATTTTCTGCTCCCCAGTGAAAATCGTGTAAAGGCAGTCCAGCGAGACTGATCAGTACCATATTGATTTGATTCACTATAATTCATTGGCCAGAGCGTTCTTGTGTGGTAGCTTTATATGCCAGTAAAAGGGCATTGGAAATTCAGCCTGCGTTTCCTTGCCTGAATCTGTAATACCAACACAAACAAGAGGGAGGAGTGGCAGCCAAATACAAAACACATTTTTTCCCCCATCTTCACCCACAAACAGACTACAAATGGGACAAACAGCACAACAGTTAAATGCAATGCAATGCAATGAAAGTGTAAATTCAATGGTTCTTTACAAGATTACACTTCACAATGGTTTTGGAAAAATTGCCTATGCGCCACTGATTCTTGAGAATAGAGAAAGCAGGTATGATTTCGATATGGCTTACGTTAAGTCAGGCTAACAAAAACACAAAATAGATGTTTAGCTTAGGATCACTTCCAAGCCAACAAACATGGTATGAAATATACGAGGGAGGCATGAATGTGTACCTTTTTATGATGGGTTTTACCCCCAGAGCCCAGTCTGTGTATCTATAGATCTTGTTCTCTGCATTATTGAAAGGAGTATTCAGGTTGTTTGCTTAAGTAAAGTACCAATCCATTAATTTAAAGATAGTCTATTACAAGTAAACATCCCGCTTTGAAAATCCCACACAAGGTCAAGTACAGCATTATCAGCAAAATGTACTTTTATTTACCCATTCGGCAGAACATTTTGAACCATTTCGCTGATGTGGCTGACCAGGGTGGAGCTAGTTTTAGCT